TCTCAAAAAGGGAATCTTAAGGCCATCCTTTTGAAGTCCCCTCTCTCTCTCTCTCTCTTTCTCTCTCTCTCTCTCTCTCTCTCTCTCTCTCTCTCTCTCTCTCTCTCGCTCCCTCCCCCCTCCCAAAGCCCTCCCCCGCACATGTGTTCAGAAGGCTCCGAGATATCCCTTGAGCCATGATCCTCGCCTGACTCGGAGGTCCTCGATGTCAAAGCGCAGGGACTTCTCGACATCTTGCAGCCTCGGGTCGCGCGTTGGCATCTCAGTAAATCAGCAGATCAGCCGATGAGAAGTTGAGAGGGTAAGTTCAGCAAAGCACTTCAAGCCAAGACAGGACTCATTTGTCCAAGCCAAGACAGGACTCACTTGTCCCAGAATTGTCGCGGTCCCGTGTTCTGAAGCTACCTGCCGGGCCACCAACAAGGTTGGAGACCCAGTGGCAGGCAGCTGAGGCTCGCAACTTTGCTTCCAGACATATATGCCAAAAAACGCATGTTGCAAGCAAACCACAGCTCTTCTTACGGGCCGGTTTCCGGCACAGTGTAGTAAACCTGGCATCCAAACCTGCATCCGGGAGGCCGGGTGTTCTCTGCCTCTGAGATCTTCAGAAGCTTCTCCGCGCGGAAGGCTCGGTCCTCTGTCTCCTTCTGCAGAAGTTCCAGGTCCTTCGCGGAAAAACTTGAAGCCCTCAACCTCCGTGCAGTGAGGCAATCATTTTTGAATAGTTAACAAAGTTGAGCGTAAACCTAAGACCTAAGAGAAACCAAGTGGTCTCCAGAGTGAGTCGGAAAAAGCAATGTGGCATGGAACAAGCTGGAGACAAAAGGATCCAGCACACTTATGGAGCACGCTACGCCAATTGTAGAAAGAAAACAACCTTCGCCCAAAGAAATTGAAGCACGATAAGCAACGGTGCAACGTGGAAATCGCAACGATAGCAACCTGAGACACAACCTGCCGCATGTCTACTGCACGCGCCCCGCATTCCTTCAACTTCTTGGCATGGGCCGCTTGGGTCTCCGCAAGTCCTGAGCAGACGCACTTGAGGTGTCAGTCCATAACTTACATCGACACTCCCCAGGGTGACAGTTCAGATTTATTCATGCTGTGCATAGGGATGAAAGCTCATGAATTTGCTTGAGTGGCCAGCAATTCTACGGCTGTGGGCGCCGATGTAAGTCGGAAGGATTTCCTGAAGTGTCTAGCGCGGGCATCTTTCTTTATATATGCATAGCTTTTTCATGAGAACAGCTCCGCACAATCAAACAGCCCGGCAAAGGTAAACGCTGAATGAAATCCCAAGACAAACATCTTCAAGTGAGGTCCCCCAGAACTTGCCTTGTCTGTGCAATCGCAAAGTCAGCAGTAGAAGCACTACGCCTCCCTTGCGCTGAATGGCAGCTGGGATCCATGTAAGGAACTAAAACCCTTACATCAGAATGAGCGGGGTGCGTTGATGGGCTTGAATGCGACAAAGCTACTGTTCTCATAGAAGGTTGTAGTCTCGACCATCTTTGCTTCTGCCTCCGCAACCCGCTCGTTCATCTCCAGCCTCTGTTTCTCCGTCTGTGCCTCAAGTTTGCCACGCCGACAACGTGAGCGTTCCAAGAACATGAGCATCAGCTTCACAACAAATCGCAAGATTCCAACTGGTGGCCCCCGAATTGCCTAGCCTAGCCCATTCCTAAATAGAAAGCTAGAATAAGTGAAGGCTTGCCAAAAGCCGCCATTTGCCACGGCCAAATTGCTTGCAATCTAGGTACTCTCTCCTCTTCCATTTGCCGAATAAACTTTCGCTTCCGGCGCTCGAAGAGGGCTTGCATCACCACCACGCCCGCTCGGATCTTGGCGATCTCAACCTGACGCGATCCATCGGATCCAAATGGATAAATTCAACTGGGGCGGACTTTCAGGCCTAGCGCGCATGTGGGAAGCTTCGCCTTGTGACGATTAATCCACTTCGTTTGTCAATATGGGTGGCTCGTCTTCGCTTGAGGGAACCGCTTTTGGTTGCGAAGGGGAAACCAGCCATTGTTTTCTGATTGGTTCTCTCCTTGTTTGTTTTGTTTTTTTTTTGGGGGGGGTTTGTGTGAGAGAAACCCAAATGTGACATATTTTAATACTCGCCGTCATGTCAACGTGCATGTGAGAGTGCTCAATGTCAAGAAGCCAAGGTGTGGATAACCTGATCCAAGCGTGATGGGTCGATCAACCTTGTACCCATGCGGAGCCGGCAATTCTTGAGTTCGCGCGCCAAATGTGGGGTGTTTGGTTCCGCCTGCTCTTTGCATGAGCATACTTAAGCGTGCGGGTAAAACACATGCGGTGAAGAAAGCGGCCATGTTACAGTGCAACCTCAGGCTGAAAGCGTGCAACATATGCAGCTGCGGCAAAAGCACAACAAAGCTAAACATTGCAAAGGGTGGAACGCTCCAAGCCAGGCTTTCTCGATCTTGTCCCAGCGCCTTCCTAATTGGGAAATCATTAGCAAAAGGGGACAGAGCCGGACCTTCGCACACCTGTTGCGCGGGCTCCTTGTTTTCAAAGGTTCCCTTTAAACATCCAATATGAGGTAATTTCATAGCTGTGGCAGCTGCGCGCTGCGGTGTCTAACATTTGACCAGTGTATCCCTGCTCAAACGCAGCCAATGCACATATGCGCACTGCGCTTTAAGCATCGGGATGTATGTTGCTAACGCAGAGTTGCTCTTAGCACTGAGGTTATTCTTTTCCCTTCAACCCAAAGTGCCCCCGCCCTTTTCCCTTCAACCGGACATCAACCAAAGCACAGTCCACTCGCCGCAACACGAGCCCGTCCGGGCCGCTGGCCTTCTTCACCTTGAACCAGGCCTCGCGATCGGCCTGCGCGAAAAAGGGCGGGGGTGGGTCGTCGCCAAGGCCTTCTTTTGGTCACAGGGAATTCGGGATGAGAGGCCCCCTTTCTTGGGGAAAAAATGCCCCGCCCAGGTGAAACAAGGTCAACATGACGTGCACTGCTCTGGATGTCTGCAATCGCCCGGCATGCCAGAATGCACAGTCAATGCAGCTTCCGTCATTTGAAGTGGTCAAGTGTTGTAAATGGGTGCCTCCTCTGAAGCTTCTCATCAAAGCTCTTCTTTTTATAAAATGTAGCACATAAGCCTTGGGTGCGCTTCTGCCCCTCTTTTTCCCTCACGTATCCATCATATATGTCTCATTTGGGTGAACCTTCTCAAGGGGTATAGTGAAGGGCTCTGGAGCCTTCGAAACGGACGGGGCACCCCATGGGCACGAACGAAGAGGCATCCATTTCAATGGCACAGCGCACAAGTCGCCGCCAGTCCCCGACCCGAAAGGCGGGAAATTGGAACCGCCGCGCCGCCGCTTTTTGAGGAACTCCATTTTGAGTGGGCACCCAGCAAACAAGAAGGGAAGTGAAGTAGGGCACCACTGAATGACCGGGATTCATGTCTCGCGCGATGAGTCCCAAGGAGCATCCAGAAATCCGGTTAAACAGCTCCACTGCGTGGCTGCTGCGTTTGTATTGGGCTGAGTTTAAATCACGCGACTGGACTCATAGCGAAGGGCACCAAACCGGCAAGGACATGGTGACGGGAAGCTGCAAGAGTTTCCAGGCTCACCCATGGAACGCAAGAGCCCGCACAAAAGGAGCTTCTCTTCATCCGGCTGCTTCTCAAAACGCAAGAACCCCTAAAATGGTTGGATTCCTTTTGGTTTCCCATGGTTTCCCTTTCAATAGTCCACCATTTCGAGAAAACACCAGACAATGGTTTCAGGTACAAGTCCAGCTTCGGCCCCCCAAAACACCCTGATCCCGCCAGGTTGCCTCCGCAGCCTCCAACTTCTTTTCGCACTGCAGCTCTGTGTCCGCAATCTTTCTGGCGTAGGCCTAGCCCAACTGGAGAAATGAAAAAAAACACGCGAAGCAGCAAATCCAGAGGCCCAAAGAAGGCAGCTCAGCATTGCCAAGCATAACATCTGGGGGGTACACTGCGAAAACTGCAGAGCGCAAGTTGCCCCACTCAGGAAGGCAACAAAAGCTTGGCGATCAAGACTCATCAGGAGCAAGTCCTCTACCTTCTCTTCATACTAATATGTGTTGGCTCTGTTTGATATTCATTCCACCCCAAAATGGATAGCATGGTTTCGACCACTTTGAGAAACTTATGCAACAAAAGCACTGAACCGGAACCCCATTGTTACACCGTCCCGCTTGAATGCGGGTTTCCTTTGGTACATCCCCAAGGCAGCGTCCGAGTGAGATCCCCTCAAGGCTTCCGTCCGCCAACCCGAGACTTGGGGTAAGCGACGGCTGAACTCTTCCGCGTTTCATCAGGCACAAAACCACACAAAGAAATCCAAATGTGAGTGACACGCATTTGGTGGAAAACTCTTTGCAAAGTGGCCTAGAAGGTCACATGGTCATCGCTAGGCAATTAAAAAGGGAACCCTTAGGCAAAGGGAACATTAGGTAAAGGGCGCTTTTGTGAATCGAAACGGGGATGATCCAGGCCGTGCGTAACACGTGCCTCGCGCAAGCTTTGAAGCTCCAACTCCAGCTGCTTCTTCCTCAGGCGGATTGGACTGCAACCCTTTGAGTACCCTCTGCCGGTGAGACCTGACGCGGAATATGCTGGAGTTTAGGGAATGAACTGTCTGCTGTTTGAAGCTTGTCTGTTCATGTCTCTTTCAGCCTGTCCGCCAAGCCTGAGATATGCAACGCGGCATCGCCGAAAACCATGCCCCATGACGCGGGGGGCGCTGCTGGCTGTGCAACATGCGATTGAAGGAGAGGCTAACATGACCACATTAAACCTCAACACCCGATGCGGGATGGGAGTGTAACTCTGAGGCTTACTAGCAAACCCAAAGTAAGTGGACCCAAAATCCGTGGGTGTCAATGAGGGGAGGGGGTGGGGCACCAATGCCATGAGAAATGAAGGTGCCACCCGCCTCTCCGTTATTTGAACAGCTTCATGCCAGCCCACTAGCCAACACCTACAAGAAACTGACAAGGCAAATTGGCCACGTGCTGTGAGCATCGGCACGTCAATGCAACGGACCCTGCCATTTGCAGCTCTGCTAACCCATCCGCATGTTTTTTTTGGGCCCAACGTCCAACCAATCTGCACACATCAAGAATGTCTTTAGGGACCCTCATTTTCGGACCGCTTCTTCCCGTCACCAGCCATCACCGGTCGCCATTCTAGAATACCAAGCTGCAAAGCCAGATCGAACCTGAACTAAGGGATCCCTAAGCAAAGGACCTACATAATACGCTCGCTGAACCCAAGAAAAAGGTGAGCTCGCCATAAAAACGACAGAAAAATGCCAAGCATCTCCATGGTGGTCCATAGAGAGCTGTTGGGCGATGGCTTGGAGGATGGCTTGGAGGCTCGCGTGGTCGGGAACTTCACGGCCGGTGCCGGGGTGGACGGCTTCCTGGGCGATGTTCACTCAGTAACCCTGGGCCACACAATGTGTCTCTGCAACAAACTATGCGTGCGAAATGTCAATGTCACAAACCCTTTTGCAAAATAACATCGGAGAGAAATGGGCGAGGGAATGGAACCAGTGAAATCAAGCCCGCATAGCTTTGATCTCTCTTCCTCGCGTGGCTGAATCCATTCTACTACCCTGTGGGCATGGCGAACGCCATATGCACAACAGCCTATCGGGTGCAAATGATCAACATGGTGAAGTCCAAAGCTGAGCAACACCTGCACAACGCCTTCGGCACTGTCACTGCACACCCGCTCCTCCCCAACATGTGGGCGACACAAATCACAAATTTGATATACCGCATGCATCGCAAGCTTGGTGTTTCCCCTCCCTTGGCTCCTTATTGCACCGTATTGGATCCTGGCAATACGACGCGGCGCAGCGCGCAGCGGCCAACTGCTTCGTTTCAATTAGCCTTCGAGGCAGATGACTGACCTCCGCTTCACCTATTCATTCGTTGCTGGCAAGCTTTCCAAGATCTGCTTTGCCAGCGGGCATTTTTCGCAGAATCCCGCCCCAGACGCCAAGACACTCCAGCCCAAAGTGCTTCCGTCGCAGTGCAGCATTGGCCACTAGGTGAAGGGACAGCCGCTCTGTGGCCTTGCCGAGCCAAAAATTGACAGGTAACTCTCATGCGAGCCAATGGCGTGGGTATTGATATTTGTGTCCGGCGTAGGCAAGAACAAGGCGCAAACCGCTTAAACACGTGCTACCCCCAGTCAAGAACCGGAGCATTTGGTTCGTCCCCCTCATTTACGGGCAAGAGATTTCATAGGCCCCTCTCACGGCATGCCGCCAAGCGGCATTTTGAGGCCCGGAAGGCGGCTCAGACATCTCGAGCCAAGCTTCGGGTCGCACAAAGGCCACAGGGTGGCAGCACCGATCAGTCACCCCTCGAGGGGTTCCTTGGCGATACCCTCCCAGCGCTTCAGTTCGCACCCCGCAGTGCGGAAGACAGCACGTGGAGCAAACAAAACATGGGCTCCACGAACATGCTCCATGCACAGGCTTCCCTGTGAGTCTTGTTTCAACATCACTCATCCAAAAGAGGCTCACGCTAAAAGTAACTCACCAACAAGGGGCGGTCGTCATCCCGGGGTGGTTTTGGTATCCCCTTGACAATCGGCGGCAAAAGGGCGGCACGTGGAGAAAGGGAATCGTTGCCCCCGCCTCTTCCGCCGGCTTGTCCCGCGAGGTCGTCCGCCATGCCTTTGGCCTTTCGCGCCTGGCCAAGTGATCGAGAGTGCTTCAAGATGTCTTCAAATGGCGGGGGGGACCCAACAAACAGTGGGTGTGCTCTTGCTTTCCCCTTTGCACAGCCCCAGAAAGGCTAGCCCCCGAGAAAAATGTATCCATTTTGTTGTGTGACGGGCTCCCGCTACCCCCCCGAACCGGAAAAAATAACAATCCTCTCCCATGAGCAGTTTCAGCCTGGTGCCCCCCCCAAAAAAAAACACACACACACACACACAAAAAAAAAAAAAAAACAAAAAAAAACTAGCGTCTTCAAAACGACGCGGCCTGCATTGCCATCTTTACGCTGGAGGCCATGGCGCGAAGCTCTACCCGGCCCGGCTATCCCCGGCCCGGCAGCCCCGCCCGGCTCCGAGCGAGCCCTTGCAGCCGATCGCAGAGAGGGGCCAGGCCGTTTCAAGGTGAAACGAGGAACGCGGAAGATGCACAGGAAACCCACAAATTGAACGCAAACTGTAGCACAAGCCGGGAGGAAAATAAAATAAAATAATAATAATCATAATAATAATAAAACGCTCAACGAAACGGCCGTGAGGAAAGCAAGCAGCTTTCAAGTACTCGTTCGGCAGCGAGCTGCATGTGCTTGTTCGGCACCAACCGCTCTGGAAGGAACAGGGCGCTATATGGGCTTGTCGCAAAATAGGGAATCCAAATTGATTGCTTTCCTATTGTTCCCTTTTACAACCACCCAAAAAGGGTACCCTTAACAGAAAGACAGACCCATATGTTTTCCTGGCTTCTCAAGTTGGTGTTAGGCCAAGGAAATTCATCTCCGACGCGGGTGCGTCCTTTTGAAGCCCTGCACAACGCACGACAAATCATGAAGCCAATAGGCCAGTGCTCCACAGAAACCTCAAAGGGTCTGTTGCCATGTGGCTTTTCAAAGAGAAAACAAAAAAGGTTTCAACTCCAAGTGGCTCAAACAAGCAAAACGAAGGATTCTATGATGCTGGACTATTTCTGGGCGGGTGATGAAGAATCCCAGCAAAGGATTCCAGCCGGCAGGGGGAACTTTCGCTGGACGCATCGTATTTGGGCGCTTTCGCTCGGGACAAGCTGAAGCCTCCGAAGCATTTCGCAGGATTCGACTGAGCAACCTGGGCTTGTGCTTAAGAACTCCCCTTTTTCGGGCCTGGTTTGGGACACCGAAAGGAACACCACCATTTCTGGGAAACTTATTTGACAAACCGACCGGCAAGCAGTTCGGACATGAGCACCTGGCGAGCCTTATGCCCTAGCCCGGACCCTTCCAATAAGGCTTAAGACCATGCAGACTGGTAACGCGGCGCGCTGAAGATGCTCGCTCAATGCGCGCTGCGAAAGCCTTGCATCGAATGTCCCTGTAAATGCCCAACCAATGTCCACCAGCTTACCCAACCCGTTCATTGATCCCCTGCTAGCTATTTGTTTTGGTGTGAGATGCAAAAAATCCCAAATGCCAAGCAACTACAAGTTTGCGGGCAGGCCAACCGGCAAGGAAAATCTATTGCCAGGTGCCGAAGGCCCGTCCAACTCGTGAACACTCGTGAACCCAAACTCCAGTGTCCACATCAAAAAATACCCGACACGGGTGCCATATGGTCCAATGAGAATATACAAATAATGCCCTCCATGGCTTGCGTCATGCCCTCCACAAACCCAATGATCGTATACAATTGATTGGATTGCCCTCCATGGCGCCAAAAATGGAGACGCCTTTGCGCCTTCCGTCCCGTTTCTTCTTTTTTTTTGGCTCGGCATCGGATCCGGATGGTCACTCGACGCATGGCTCCTGAAGGAGCGATGCATTGAAAGCTGGGGCGTGCGGAGAGTGGAAGACCGGGAACATGGGGTTTCAAAGAAACCAGCTACAGGAAATTCTACAGGAAGCTAGCCAAATACCCACCAAAATCAGGGGTTTCCTGTACGTAGAACTTCATGTAGCTGGGCTTCTTAGAGGGTTAGTTCCATATGTGCCAGAATCAAAACCTGGTATTGAATTGGTCTACCTGGAGCCATGTAAAGAACTAAAAGGGCGGCTGCACCCATGTTGGTTGGCATTATCCCTTACTAACCTTCATCTACCCAGGAATCGATCGTTGCTCAAATTTTGATTGAAATGGTAGGCGGTAGGCTTGGTTTCCTTTGTTTACCCTTTGTCCCAGCTTGTCCCATGAAACCAGCCCGAACAAGGGTGCCCCACAAGAAGCGCACGCACATAAACACAAACACACACACACACAGACACAGACACACAGACACACAGACACACAGACACACAGACACACAGACACACAGACACACAGACACACAGACACACAGACACACAGACACACAGACACACAGACACACAGACACACAGACACACAGACACACAGACACACAGACACACAGACACACAGACACACAGACACACAGACACACAGACACACAGACACACAGACACACAGACACACAGACACACAGACACACAGACACACAGACACACAGACACACAGACACACAGACACACAGACACACAGACACACAGACACACAGACACACAGACACACAGACACACAGACACACAGACACACAGACACACAGACACACAGACACACAGACACACAGACACACAGACACACAGACACACAGACACACAGACACACAGACACACAGACACACAGACACACAGACACACACAGACACACACAGACACACACAGACACACACAGACACACAGACACACACAGACACACACAGACACACACAGACACACACAGACACACACAGACACACACAGACACACACAGACACACACAGACACACACAGACACACACAGACACACACAGACACACACAGACACACACAGACACACACAGACACACACACACAGACACACACACACAGACACACACAGACACACACAGACACACACAGACACACACAGACACACACAGACACACAGACACACACAGACACACACAGACACACAGAGACACACACACAGACACACAGACACACAGACACACAGACACACAGACACACAGACACACAGACACACAGACACACAGACACACAGACACACAGACACACAGACACACAGACACACAGACACACAGACACACAGACACACAGACACACACACACAGACACACAGACACACAGACACACAGACACACAGACACACAGACACACAGACACACAGACACACACACACAGACACACAGACACACAGACACACAGACACACAGACACACAGACACACAGACACACAGACACACAGACACACAGACACACAGACACACAGACACACAGACACACAGACACACAGACACACAGACACACAGACACACAGACACACAGACACACAGACACACAGACACACAGACACACAGACACACAGACACACAGACACACAGACACACAGACACACAGACACACAGACACACAGACACACACACAGACACACACACACACACACACACACACACACACACACACAGAACACACAAACACAAACACACACACACACAGCCGTGCAGTCTTCCCCGTTCAGCAAGCCAGGTTTGCGCGGCGTCGGAAAGGGAGCTGTATCAGGGTGTGAGTTCTTTGAGGGTCTCTGTTCGGGTTGGTTAAGGACAACCAAGAGGACAGCCAGCACTTTTGAAGCCCCCTAGTTCGACACATATCCATATCAAAGCAAGCCACCTATTGAATCAATTGTAACATGGAGGAGGTTGCTTTGCTTCAACTACAATCGGGAGGCGCTGTTTCTTGAAGGACTGCTTGGTGCAGGTCACACATTGAATTTCCACTGGTGATTAAAGCAGTTGAGGCGAAGCCCCCTCCGGTGAAACGGGGGCATCTGAAGGAACAACAGTTTTTCTTCACATTCCGCGCCTGTCATCTGGACCCTGACCGGGACCCGGAGATGGAAATGCGTCGGCGCCTGAAGCATGAGTGCATGAGTGCAGGCAGCCCTAGCTATGGTGCACATATTATCCACGCGTGCCTGTGCGCGCGACGTGGTTTTTTCGGCGCAGCGAAAAAGAGAGAAAACAAATATGACGTAATGCATAGAAGTTACTACTGCTAACAACTAGCAAGCACGGCTCCCCGCCACTGTGCATACAGATGAGCATGCTTGCTGCACGTGTTGTGGCGCAACTTTTAGCGCAACCAAGAGCACACTCGTGACTTTGATGGTGCTTCATTGGCCGAGGGGACTTCAAAGGAGATCCTACGTACACACATGTTCCAAGCAAGACCCACCGCTAGCAGCCAACTCGAATGGATTAAACAAATACACCACAGGATAGCACAACTAATTTAGAGAACCAGCTGGCTGATGTTGGTTGCTCAGGTCAGCAAGCGCTTGGAAGGACAGGGAGGGGCACAAAGATCGATGTCAGCTGGACTGCGTTTTGAACATGCCTGCCTCGATCTGTCTCGTCGAACGCGAGACCTGAGCCCGAAGCACTTCCAAACAGCCAGTCAGGAGCGAGAAGACCAAGTGGAATGCAAGCAAATGACCAGGACCAGGTTGCATAAATGCTTGACACTGATCCTGAAAAAAAGAGGGAAATAAACACCTGAGCAGCACTTCCTAAGCAGCAACAACTTCGCCCAAAAGCAGCAACAACCAAACAAGCAAAGGGTCGCCCATGAATTGGAGCAACAGCGTCTATTCACACCAACCAGGCCGCCAACCAGCCAAACATGGAACAAACGATCTGAAGAAAGAAAACAACATCTGAACTGAATAAACAAGCAATACGTCAAAGAACGATAGACGTTGTGCAATTCGACCAAACCCGGAATGCCCAACCAAGAGCAGAATGAAAAACAACTACGCCCACAACAAATACCAACATAAAAGCACTACAAACAAACAGCAGCAAAACAAGACTCGCAAAGCAAGCAGGCCTGCTATTAAGCAAGAAGTTGCAAGGACCGCGCAGTTGCACCACCCCGCATGGAGCGCAGCATTTGCTGTGTGGCAAGCAACACCAGTACCAAGCAACACATTCACCCAGGTCCTTGTCCTTGCAGCTGAAGCAATGTCGCAACAAGACCATGAAAGCAAACGATTGCCCATAAACCTGAACATGAAAAGCTTCGTGGCTGCTCAGTTTGGATCGAAACGTGCAACAGCTCATGAACAAACAAGAGCCTGGACTCCGCCGTCAGTGACACGACGAGAAACTTCATGCAAAACAAAGCTGGCACACCACTGCAGGGGTTAGGAAAAAGTGCATCCAAAACGACGGCAACCTGTTTCCAAAGGAAAAACAACCAGACCTTTCCCCACGCCTGTTGGCAACATGCACAAATCCAAAAAGAGATGTAGCCCAGCAACATAATCCAATGGAAATGAACACTGTTCACCTTTTCGCGTCGCACCTCCAAGCATCACGATGTTTTTTGCGTCTTGACCATAGCAAACCAGGGTGAGTGTTTGTCGTTCTTGAGGTTCGGAACCTTTTGCCGCCTGTTTTTCCACTGGAGAGCAGAAGGAAGACAGAATCCGCTTCTTGGAGGTCGCTCTTTGACACATCAACCCGTGTCTGCGCTTTTTGAGGGCACTTGCCCTCCTGACTAACATTGCTGTGGGTCAAAATTCCAGTGAACATCAACCAATCCAACCACTAAAATAGGTTATCCCAAAATCGGATCCCATGGGTTTTGACAACCACAGCCACCGGGCGGAGGGCCGGGTGGAGGCCCGTCTTCCTTGAAACGGGACCGGTTTTTTGGGGCTCCCGCCGTGACCGGCGGCGCCGGGACCGAGATCTGCGACGGGACCTCGGGTCTGGCCACATGTTGCTTTTCCAAACGAAGTCTGGAAGGAAATATCCCTTGGCTTTTGGGATGATCTACTAGGTCCCACTTTTTTTGTTGGGGGGGGGGGGGAGGTTGGACAATTCCCAAATCAAAACCTTAGCCTTTTTCCAGGGGTTGATTCCTTGTCCATTCTTTTCAGCCGTCGTTCTTCTCAAAAACCGGAGCCATTTGCCAGGAGTTTTGGTGGTTTTCTGGAAAAAAGGATCCCTGGAAAGAATGGGGAAGTTACCCTAGATCCCTTGGTTTTTGAGGTGATCTAACATAAACAGCACAGGCTGCGTAAACATCGTGCGCATTCTGGAGTTAATCCCAGGATACAAGATATGCACAACAAAGATGGTCAATAATTATTCATTCCACTTGCATGTTCCTAAGGAAGTTTAAGCTGATTGTCTGACATATATCCTGTAAGGGACCCTAAACAGAGGACATGAGAAACCAAAACCGTTTGCTTGTTAGAAGCAAACCGGAAACCAGAACCTACCCTCACACTGGGAAACGTGTATGTGCTCTTGCGAGCCCAAAAACATCAGGCCGGCAACAGCCATGGCTGCACTTGTCTTCTGACGGTTTGGAAGACTACCATCCTCTTGAAAGGGCCCCAAATGTCCACTTTCATGATTGGAACAATGGTATGCCGCAAGTTGTCCTTAGATTGCTACGTTGTGACCCTGGTGTCCAAATGTCCTGCTTGAGGCTAGCAGCCGGTCCACCCGGCTGGAAACCACGCGGCTTTCACTCAGCGCACTGCGGCGAGCGCGCCGTTCGCGGACGTGTCCTCAGTAGGGTGGAGGGTCACCAGCCATGCAAGCTTGACGAAGGCAGGGCAAAGGGCCTACTTACAGAACCGGCGCAGGGAGGCAAGCGCTTGCAGGGTCGCCGGCATCTTGAAACCAACAACCAAGCTGTCACTGGGCGCTTCTTCATTCCTGCTTGCCGGGCAAAATACTTACTATATATTGTGTTAACTGTCGTGAATGTCTGCTGCTCATGCCAAAACTTCGCCAAACAAAAGATACAGCCAATGAAACAATCTGCACCACATGATCTTCAAGTATCCTATTGATCGAAGGTATGTGTCGGTTGTGGGCGTGGCGCATTGGTCCATGCGACTTGTCTTGAGGCGCAGCAAATGTTAGGCTGAACCTGTGAAGCATTGTGAGGTATAGCTCGAATCGAAGCCGATTTGGGTGCCCAGCTTGCTCAGGTTGACCCGCTCCCTCCACACCTGCAAGCGCCGGCCCCCCACCCGTAGAGACCCTCAGGGCTCAAGTGAACCCATCCAAAGCGATAGAACAGCGGGGTTTTCCCCCAGCTGCGCTCATGGGCCCTCAGAAGGGCGTGCCACGATAGAGAAAACCCATTGACTTCTGCTACCACGCGTATAAAGGTTGATATAGACCGTACCGAACCCATATGAACCAGATAGCACCTGCTAAATTTCAAATCAAGTTGTTTGGGCGCTTTGTGCCGTGCCTTCTCCCAGTTGAAGTCTGGGTCATTCACCGGCTTCCCGTCCTGGACTGCCACGAGTAAAGCAGGTATCCAAGGTAAACATCGACGATAACCGTGAAGCAAAAGAACCTCAAACCAGTGGACTCCTTTTTAGCCAACTGACAAACAGGACGCCTATGGTCAAAGCTCACGACGTCCTTGTCTTTTGCGATCTTTCTCCTTTCCCTGGATGTACTTCGCTCCTGACCAGCCAAAACAGTTGCCAAACCCGCCACCAGGACGGTCCGAGGCCTTGTCATCTTTGCTCCTCTTCTTTTCTTTGTCGTCCTCCGCCTGACGCGATGCCACTCACTACCCCCAAAAAGTACCCCGGAAAGAAATGAGGTATATGCACCCATACCGTAGCCATATGGGTGGTCCCTTAGAACCCTTGAGCACAGTGGCTTGGGGGTAGTGCACAAATGCTGCATGCCATACGTCCCTGGAGATCAAAATGCCTGCCTTGACCCTTTGTCTCTTGCCCTGCATCACGTCCGCAAACGTCATCCTGCAAAGCTGGCAAAGGAGTGGGGACATACCAAGCATGCGCGCCAGCTTTGCCACAGACCTTTCGAACTTCCATCGGAAAACAACACCCAGGATCATCTGTGCTATCTTGACACTCTCTGAATTGGATATCGCCGTTCTCATGGTTGGAACTGCAACTGGATTCAGTAACTTGGGGAGCGCTGTCCAAGTTTGAGCTTGGGCAGAGCCATGGGGGAGCGGGGTGCCAATGCCTGTGACTCTCTTGTTTCTCTGAGCAAGTCTATGGCAAGCAAGGCAGATATGTTTGCAAGGCGCTTGCCAAGTGCCGCTAGTCCACTGGGCACCCAGTAGCTGTATATCAGGTCAACATCACCGAATGCCTTGCTTGTTTGCTTCACGCTAACAGCTAGTGCAAGGGAAGGCAGGACGAGACAGGCATGAAGTGGATGATTCCGTTCCTATCTGAAGTACCCATGTACTGATTGCGTGATGTGACTTAGTTGACGGCGTTGCTGAAGCATCCGGATTCAAGGTGTCACTTTGCTGTGTCTCGGTGGGAAATTGGCTGCATGGTTCTGGGTCTGACGATGGCAACATCCGACAAACACGAACAAACAACAAATTGCTAAAGGCATGGGGCCTGTAGTGACCAAATCACACCAACTTCCCCCAGCTGAGAGACCAACAGTGGCGAATGGGCAAATCCTTGCTGCGCTGCTCAGCTTCTTCAAAGTTCACACATCTTGGTTGACAAGTCTGAGACCAAAAAGAGACGAACATGGACAGTGTGTCCCGTCCATCAATTTAGGAAAAAAACACACAGACCATTTGGGCACTGCCGCAAATCAGACCATTCCCAAAGATCTCAATGAGAACCACTCTTTCTAGTACCCGGCAACGGCAACAAGGCCTCTAAGCCTGCATCCCTTGACGCCATATTCCTTCGAACAACAGAAGCACCGGCGTGAGGCGTCTGCAGCGAGACATGAACATCATGGGCTGATGCAGCAGCTAGGTTCTCATTTCTCCCACCTTTCGGAGCTCGGCCGTAAGCAAACTGCACTACTCCTCGATTTTGGGCAATCAGAACATCATGGTGAGCTCATTTCAATGGGCGGAACCGGTCGGAATTCAACAGAACATAGGCTTGCCTCTGCATGGAAGTTGTCAAGTGGGGGGTCTCTGAGCTGAGGTTCTCAGGCAAAGCAATTGGCGCCTCTCGTGGCCCGGCTTGGCGTCCGCAGCGCCCAGGCCCTCTGCGGTGATGCCGACGATGCCCTTCGATTCACGACTCAGCGGGCTCAGCGGGCTCAGCGGGTGGGTCGAGCGCAGATCAGCCGAAGTCATGCATTTTGGAATCTCTGGAAAAAACCGAGAGCCGATGCCCCCGACAACCGGCTGACCAGCAGTGGGTAAAGCACAGCCTCTTGGACAATTTGAGTTCGAGCTTAAGCAGTTTCCGGGGCAAGGCGCGTAGGCACGAGGAAGCTGCGTATCTTTCAAGGCCGCTGAAACGCAAGGCATCGCAGGGCTGTGGGAATTGCAATGGCTTCTCTAAGAATCTCTAAGCATAATGGAAGGCCTGCCGCATGACCAATTCTCCACTGTACCCTGGTAGGGGATCAGAACGAACCCCTCATTCCCACAGCCCACTGAAACCACCGCAATCCACCCATCCACGCATGTGCGCCTCCCCTACAACGAGGAGGATGTCCCCCACTGGGACGAAGGCCCATTCATCCACCGCGGGGACCTTGCAATGCTGCAAACACCAAACCGCCTCGGCAACCCGACTCAAGGTACAGCGCTTTCAGTCCTCCCATCCTCCCAAGTACCACTGAGTTGGCGGATTGGAACCCCAATGGTCAAACGTAGTCTCTCTTAGAGCGTGTTGTCGGGGTACTTGGGGATCCCCTTTCAGGAGGGCGAAAGAAAAACCGCAACCCAAAAAAAATAGGCTCTGCAAGAACGATTGCAAATGTTACAAAAGAAAAAGCTCTACAAAACGTGACCCCCGAACAACTCCATACTTCCATTTGCTTAAGCCCCCTGAAAAAATATATTTCCAGTAGTCATAGATGCCCTTTAAGCAATTGGAAGCATATCACTCCATGTTTTCCGCTTTGGAGATGCCAGCGGTGCCAAAGCCAATGGTGCCGTGGCCACTCCCCCGCCTCCGTGCCGTCCGGCGCCACAGTGGGCTCCTCGGCTCAGGCTGACGGACATGGTTGATCAAAAGGTCGGTGATACATGGGACGACCATTGGGGAACCACCAAGATGATATTTTCTACATGGGGGAAGTCATCCTTGGTCAGTTGGGGGTGGCTTGGCTCAAGTCTTGCTGGCACGCGCGCATTGGCTACTCATCACAGGGCTCAAAGCCAGGTTTTCTTCAGAACATGCACCGTAGTTGCAGGGGATGTTGACGCGCCAACGATTCAAAGGCTGTTGAGACACCTGTGAGAATGCGAGCCCCTGGCTGGCGGACTCATAGGTTCGGCTGTCAGAAGTTTCGTCCGCAATTGGATCACAGTGCACTCGCAAGACCAGGGCCACCTCACCAATGCGAGACTCGATAAGTTGCGTTGGCTCTCTGGAGTGTTCTCCCTCAAACAGTGAGAACCCTACAAATCATCCAGGGTGCCTTGAACAACACCCCGCCCGTGTCCCCCAATCTGTCCGAGTTGCCGCAGTGAAAAGGCTGAGAAGCCGCGGGCCTTGAGGGTCTTCCTTGACCTCGCGCGTTCGCTCCCGCGGCGGCGATGCAACAAACGCACCCGCAGCCAAGTCCCACAGGTTGGCCCCGGGGACACGGCCCACTCAGCGATGTCCTTCCACAAAGCTGCGGCCAATTGACGAACCTGGCCGGCTGAGCAATCGCAACATCTGAAGCGAAAATCCGAGGACGAGAGGACTTGATTGACACTCCATTTCATCTGGTCGAGCGCTGGAAATGACGGGATGTTTGGTCCAGCACTGAAAAGAAAGTGAGTCCCTGAAGACTGGCAAAATCGTTCCTAAGCAAAACAATACCTTTTCTACGCACTGGGCAGGCTAAGGGGAAGGATTAAAGTCAGTACGTGATTAAGCAGACATTTGTGCCAGGGTTGTTTCTTGGCACACACCGACGTTGGCATACAAACTGCAAACAGCCATCCCATTTGCAGGTCGCTGTCTCGCCTCTTTGTCATTGCAGCCTACAAAGCTGTCAATGCCGCGCGGGAGGATGTTCCTGATCCTGGCAACAGCCACGTGGCCTTGCCGATCTCTGATTGGCTTTTTGACTTGATGCCCGCAGCCGGCAACCCTCTGCTTGGCTTTTTGACTTGCTGCCACGAGGCCCTCAGATTGCGCACAGTGCAAACGGTCCATGGCACGCTAAAAGGCACTTGCTCAAAGAACCGTTTCCAATTGGACCGAAAGTGGGTGCATGGACTTTGCCAAAACCATGGCACCATGGGACGGGCAAAAAACTGGTGCCACACACCTCTAGCCCAAAGGTTTGAGGCATAGCCAGCTGGGGTGCATGCTATCCGATTGCCATCAAACGTCCTGACGCAAAGCTCTCACGGGTAATCGCTGTCCTCTCGCGCCAGGTGTCTGCCCATTTGGAGCTACGCTTGCCCTCCTGCAAAGGCAAGGGATTCGATACTTCCCAAAGCCGCACGTCACAGCTGATTCATATACCACCCATTTGGAATTCGTTGGGAACATGCAGCGTTTGCTTCTTGTGCTTCTCTCTCTCTCTCTCTCTCTCCATCTCTTTCTCATAATCTTTCCCTCCCTCTCTCTCTCTCTCTTTCTCTTCAGCATCGTGTTGGGAAGCAACTCATGATGAATCTAGATGCCCAATGCTTCCTCGCCGGGCAATTGGGACGCTGCGGATTCTCTGGCCCCCGTCCTCATCATCCCACATGCTGCCTGATAGGAGTCGTTGGGCGCACGAACCGTTCGACTTTTTGGGATTGGGTCCTTTGGCTGCTTTGCCTGCCTTTGTAACTCAGAAACCCAAAAAACAGAAACAGGATGAAACAGGAACAAAAACCGACAAACAAACTACAATGGGGAGACCAAACCCAACACAGGAGCGCCCAAATGGCAACGGCTTTTGGCTTAACGCCAGCACAGTCCCGAGTCCCGAACATTCTCAACACCAACAAATTCATTGCGAACAGCACTTCTTGAATGACATTTCAGCTGCATGTTTCCAAAAACGGGGACCCCTTACATGATCATCGTGATCAAGATCAAGATCAAGATCAAGATCAACATCATCATCGTCATCATCATCGTCATCGTCATCATCATCGTCATCATCATCATCATCATCATCACCATCATTATCTCCTCCTCCATTAATCCTCATCATTAGCTTCTTCATTCCTCTTCATCATTAGCTCCTTCATTCATCTTGATCATTGGCTCCTGCATTCATCTTCATCATTGTCTCCTTGATGATTAGCTCCTCCATTCATATTCATCTTTATTTCCTTCATTCACTTTCACCTTTAGTTCCTTCATTTATCTTCATCATTATCTCCTTAATTGTCTCCTTCATTGATCACCATCATCATCTCCTTGCATTCATCTTCATCTAAGTTAATCTAAATGGGGGTTTCCAGTCACATCCTTCTGGGCAACCAATTTTCCATGGCACTTGGCGCCCCCCCCTCCCCCCCTTGACGGCTCTGGACGCCGGGCCTCGCCGCGTTTTGGCGCCAGGCTCTGCGTCCGGCGTCCACACTCGGACCCTGGGCTCCGGTTGTCTCCGGTGCCTCCCAATGGACCCCCGAAAATTGGATTTTCGGCTTTGGGCGCTCATTGAAAAAATTAACCCCGCCCCCTAAAAAAAAGAGTACCCTAAACCCCAAACCCTAAACCCTAAACCCCCCAAAAAAAACGTACCCAAACAAGAGACACCCGAGCATCTGCGGTTTGGAACACCGGGATTCTGAAGCTCCGAGCCGACTGTGGACTCGTGCAGTTTCTCAAGACCCCTTCCCAAAAAAAACCAACTTGAGCGATCAACCAAAAGATGGCCAACACCAGCAACAATGCTTAGAGGCAAACAGGTTGGCTAGGTCTGTGCAACGCTTGGGTTGTCCAGGGGCTGGTCTTCGCTCCGCGGGAATTGCTGAGCCCAGGACTTGATCTTCTCCCTGAGGTCACGCCAAAGGCCGATCTCTGGGTACTGCATCATGACCTGAAGCAAACCATGCCACTCTTGAGTTGATTTCCGGCCATGGGCGCAAATGACTGGGGACTTACTGGGGCCCAGGGAGTATATGCACCCTCCCACCAACTAACATGGAAGTGCCAAAAGGCCCTTTCCACTAGGAAAGTCGTCTTTCTACAGGGGTCTGTGCACTTCCGTGTTCGCTGGGAGGGTACTTGAGCATGCGTTCGCAGCATCCCCGAGCCCCAGACCGTCTGCCAGTTTCCGCGGACACAGTCGTGATTCCTGGCAGAATCTGAAGCCTCTGGAGCCAGGCATCTGCTACTTTTAAACCAAGGCAATGGTATCTATCTGAGATGTGGGTGTGGGTCAAAAATAGGCCAACACCACAATGGGTTGCCCTGGCAAATGGAAACACATGGACTAAAACCTGCAGTCCACATCCTGGTGATTTAATTGTGACCCATACCCATATAGCATCACTGCTAGATCCAGCCTCTTTGCCTCCGCCATGGTCGCACGATTGAGAGCACATAGGAATTGCCTCAGCGGATGCTTCCTGAACCTGACGTGCGCGGTTGCCAATTCCGATCGACCTTGGGATCAGCCAGGTTTTCAAGCAGCCCAGTTGTGAAAGTTCTCCAAGATGTAACGAGGGCCATGAAGCTGGCAGCTGAATGAACCCTGGTTTGGCCCCTGGTTTGCATTTCAACCAGCTTCCCGTGCCAATGAACCCTGCCGTCAGAATGCAAGCGGCATCGCCCACTTGCAGCATCTGCTGTGACAGCTGGTTTCGGCATGCAGGGCGCCAAACACATGATGATACTTCCATCAAAAAGCTGCGTCCCTCCGTTCCCCTAAAGTGATACCGCACACCAGCGGCCACCCAGAGTGGCCTCGGGCATGATTCATGTTTCCACCTGCACGGCAAGGGGCGCGCCCTGCCTGGCCAACAGAGGTTTGGGCGCTTCCCTGTTTACTTACCAGCGGCATGGCCGCAAGTGGCCAGTGTCTGCGTCCGAAGTGCGCTCGATAGCGCTTGGGCGCGCAGTCATAGGCCGTGCCTCAGAGTCTCAGAGGGCATGTTTCTCAAAATTGCTTGGTTGCTGTTGACCCCTCTGCAAAAAGGTTTCATTGTTTATGGGTTTAGTGGAAAACCGCTTGATTTCCCAAAAAATTGAAGTCTAAAGATCCGTTGCCCAATATCAGCCAAGATTGGGCCAACCGGCTGGTTTTCTATTGGCTTCCCTTCCCAAGCGGTCCCAAAGAGCTTTGAGGTTGCAACTTCCAAGTTTGGCCTGGAGCTCTCCTCAAAATGCCTGAGACACTGCACCTGGCAACCTCGCAAAGAAGAACACCACTCAAATGGGGAAACTGGGCCGCCAGCCAACGTTATAACAGTGCTACAATTTCATTACACGTCTCCCACTGAGCAACTTCTAGACCATGCACATGAAATGCTCGGCTTGCTTTGCCGGGCAGAACCTGGTGCTGCAGACAACTTTTCGCCACCAACAAGCAATTTTCGTTCAGTGTTGTCGCAGATTGGCGGTTGAGTGCTGAAGAACATGGTTCACTGCCAAGCGATCGGCTTTGTGACATGAAGGCGCAAATCAAAGTGGCATGAATTCCACACGGAAAGAAGACCAACTTGTCTGTTTTGAACAGCATCGTGCGCAATAAATTCTGGGCGGCCAGGTTTCTTCTCTTTGCTTCGCTTTGGCAAACAACTCTCGCACAATTGCAGTTTCACCAGCTTTTCCCTCTGCAACAGTTCTCCCACGTGCAGGTCATGACTCCTTCTGCAAAAATGCGTCCTGCAAAGAACCAACGGGCTACTTCGTGCAAGCAATAAGCCGAGGGGTCGGGAACTTCACCAATGAAAATTTGGTCGGGGCGTCCAAAGAAAGACGGAAAGAAACTCACCGTTGAGGGTGCCCCGTTGTAGGGGAAACAGCAAAAACCACTCGCCTGTCAACAGCTGCTTCAGGATAATCGGCAGGCCCTTGAAGCCGCATATATTGTATTCAAACAAACATCACAAAACAAAACAAAACGTAGCGTACGATAACATTAAAAACTGTACACAACATGTACAACAACATACATTACATTACATTACATTACATTACATTACATTACATTACATTACATTACATTACATTACATTACATTACATTACATACATACATACATACATACATACATACATACATACATTACATACATACATACATACATACATACATACATACATACATACATACATACATACATACATACATACATACATACATACATACATACATACATACATACATACATACATACATACATACATACATACATACATACATACATACATACATACATACATACATACATACATACATACATACATACATACATACATACATACATACATACATACATACATACATACATACATACATACATACATACATACATACATACATACATACATACATACATACATACATACATACATACATACATACATACATACATACATACATACATACATACATACATACATACATACATACATACATACATTACATACATACATACATACATACATACATACATACATACATACATACATACATACATACATACATACATACATACATACATACATACATACATACATACATACATACATACATACATACATACATACATACATACATACATACATACATACATACATACATACATACATACATACATACATACATACATACATACATACATACATACATACATACATACATACATACATACATACATACATACATACATACATACATACATACATACATACATACATACATACATACATACATACATACACATACATACATACATACATACATACATACATTACATACATACATACATACATACATACATACATACATACATACATACATACATACATACATACATACATACATACATACATACATACATACATACATACATTACATACATACATTACACTACATTACATTACATTACATTACATTACATACATACATTACATACATACATACATACATACATACATACATACATACATACATACATACATACATACATACATTACATACATTACATACATTACATACATTAATACATACATACATACATACATACATACATACATACATACATACATACATACATACATACATTACATACATACATACATACATACATACATACATACATGCATACATTACACTACATAGATTACAATACATTACAATACATTACATACATACATGCATACATACATACATAACATACATACATACATACATAGATACATACATACATATATATATACGTTACATACATACATACATACATACATTACATAAATTACATACATTACATACATACATACATACATGCATACATACATACATTACATTACATTACATTACATTACATACATACATTACATTACATTACATTACATTACATCACATTACATTACATTACATTATATTACATTACATTACATTACATTACATTACATACATACATACATACATACATACATTACATTACATACATACATACATTACATACATACATACATACATACATACATACATTACATTACATTACAATACATTACATTACATTACATTACATTACATTACATTACATACATACATAAATACATACAAACATACATTACACACATACATACCTACCTACCTACCTACATACATACATACATAACATACATACATACATACATACATACATGAATACATACATACATACATACATACATACATTACATACATACATTACACTACATTACATTACATTACATTACATACATACACACATTACATACATACACACATTTACATACATACATACATACATACATACATACATACATACATACATACATTACATACAATACATTACATTACATTACATTACATTACATTACATTACATTACATACATACATACATACATTCATACATTACGTACATACACTACATACATACATACATACACACACACATACATACATACATACATACATTACATTACATTACATTACATTACATTGCATTACATTACATTACATTACATTACATACATTACATACATACATACATACATTACATACATACATACATACCATACATTACAGTACATTACATTACAGTACAATACATACATACATGAAACATACATTACATTACATTACATTACATTACATACATACATACATTACATTACATTACATTACATCACATCACATTACATTACATTACATTATTACATTACATACATGACATACGTACATGCATACATTCATACATACATACATACACTACATACATACATACATTACATACATACATACATACATACATACATACATACATACATACATACATTAGACACATAGATGCATAGATACATACATACATTTCATACATACATACATTACATACATATATATATATATATTACATACATACATACATACATACATACATGCATGCATGCATGACATACATACATACATGACATACGTACATACATACATACATACTTTGCATTACATTACATTACATAACATACATAACATACATACATACATACATACATACATGCATACATACATACATACATACATACAGACATTACATTACATACATACATACATACATTACAACCATTACATTACATACATTACATTACATTACATTACATTACATTATATTACATTACATTACATTACATTACATCATATTACATTACATTACATTACATTACATTCCATACATACATACATACATACATATATACATATACACTACATACATACACACACACATGCCTACATACATACATACATACATACATGCATACAGACATACATCCATGCAATACATGCATTACATGCATTCATGCATTACATGCATTACATGCCTGCATACATGACACTACACTACAGTACATTACAATACATCACATTACATTGCGTTACACACATACGTGCATGCATGCATGCATGCATTGCATTGCATCACATTACATTACACTACATTACGCTACATTACATGTCATCGAATCGGTACATCACATTGTATTGCATTGCATTGCACTACATTGCACAGAGATACATACATACAACACAACCATGAATGCATGCATTAATGCATTCGATCATGCATACATTCCTATATACATGCATGCATACGCGCGGCGTCCATGCACACATAACATTACATTACCCCACATCACATCACATACATCACTTACATGACATACATAAATTCAATCGAATTATATTACAATACGTTTTGTTGCAGTACTCTACATTACGTGTTATACGTATAGTATATACATATGTATCTGTTTTGAACTGCTTGTGTGCATACACATGCAGTCCTACACGGACATCCATTCTAAACACTTCGCCATGGCTGAGGCTGCTGCGCATTGGGAATAGTGCAAAGAGGTCCAGCAATCGGGTGTGGTCGAACCACTCGGACAGGAGCACCTCATCACGAACCGGGCGAAGCTGTACATGGCACGGGGGATAAGGTTCCCAGCAACTTGGCAAATGGCAATCAGCCGATAGCCCTATGCTCCCTGGCGTCAAAAGTTGACCACCTATGACCACCTAGTCAAGCCATGCCGGCAGTTCCCAGGCTTCAGCTTAGGGAACCCTAAGCAGGGTTGCATACAGGTGCTCATACCTCACGTGCCGAGTGTTAGGGCACAATGATCTGGTCTAGTGCATGTTGCCCACCAGATTGGGGACCACCTTGATTTGGTCATATTCCCTTTGGTGTCCCTCAAGACCAGCCCTGTTTCGGCGCCGCCGGTGCATTTCAACCAACGGCTCGCGCCCACCCATGGAACGCAAGAGCCCGCACAAAAGGAGCTTCTCTTCATCCGGCTTCTCAAAACACAAGAACCCCTAAAATGGTTGGATTCCTTTTGGTTTCCCATGATTTCCCTTTCAATACCAACCAACAGGTTGTCCACCATTTCGAGAAACACCCAGACGATGGTTTCAGGTACAAGTCCAGCAACCGAGCGAAAGAAACCGATGGCGCCTGCGGCCTGCAATTCGTCCAGGCCGCGGCAGCGGTGAAGACCTGGATCGATTCAGTTGAGACACGTCCTCAAAACCCGGGTAGATGAAGGTTGGTAAGGGACAATCCCCACCTTCAAAGGCAGATATCCGCCTTCTTAATTCCTGAAGCATGGTTCTGGGATTACGACCTTTCGAGTACTGGGTTTCGATTGTGACTCAGTTGGGTCCAACATCGCCAGGGATTCTGACTGGGGTGGAAGACACTGGTCGTCCAAAAGGCCCCTCTCATGGGATTCCATGAAACCTGAACGCAAGGATGAACAACCCCGAAGAGGCAAGCCTCGACAGAAACGTGACACAAATCCTTGTTCGATAAAAGGGGCCCGGCAGACTGGGGCGACATGACGCCGATTTCGGTGTCCAAAGGCTTAAGACCGTGGTCGTAACTTGTTTGCTTGGATGTTCGGCCAAATCAGGTGGCTAGTCACCAAACCGTCTAAAGGGTTCACCCCACTTCCGGGAACCAAGTGAGCTAAAACGCAGGTCAGTGTCATTGCACGATTAGTAAACCTCCCCTCATCCAAGGTTTCGCCTCCCAGATTCCCGCCAATACTCTACTGAACATACTGAAGTATCGACCAGCGGGGGGCCCTTTACTAGCCAGGAATCAGCCGAACACCCAAGTCTAAGCCGAACACCCAAGGCTAAGATGGTGTCCACTACCCCAAAGCGAGGCTTACTGGGATATATAGTTAGCAGCCAAAAAATCCAAACAATATCCCAGTAAACCATCTCAAAAGGGTATCCCATTCAAAAGGGTGTATCCCCATAGAAAAGGGTATCCCCAGCAGAGCGATGCAGGTACTACAACCACCACGGGCAATCAATCATGTCTTCGACAAGTTAAGATGTTTTCGTTTGATGAGTTGAGTAATTTTCCTTACAATCCCCATAGAAAAGTTGGTATCCCCATAGAAAAGGGTACCCCCCCTACAAAAGTTGGTGTATCCCACTAAACCCCCACCAAGTCGCCTTGGTTTGGGTGGCTGGCAACCCATAGGCACAAGGTGCTTCCCATGTTCCGGGCTTTCAGGCCGCCAGGGACCGGGACAGGGCTGGCCCCGGCACCTGGCGGAGCACTCAAGGCCACTGAACTGGGCAAGGAACTTTTGCTTGATAGGTACATATATATAGGAAAACATATATACACATATATATATATATGAATATGGTGATGCGGGGGGCGGGGGGGGGGGGCTGAGGATATGTATATATATATATATATATATTTGTACGCAATACCCAATGCAAGTTTTATATATATATATATATATATATATATATATAAACATGTGCGTTTTTAACAATGCTTGGGAACTTTTGTTCAACGTGGAGATTCATCCCCCAAGTCTGGACGGCATTACGTGTTGCTCAGCCGCAATCAGTTGTGAAAACACGATCAGAGACCGGTGATGGTTCCCCTTCGCACTGGTTGCAACCGCCAGCCCGGAGTCCATAAACATGTTGGCGGGAAGAAATTGCCACCAGTGCCCGGCCAGTGTTGAGATCCCACGCGGAACCAGACACGTGACCTCGACATGCGCATCAGAAAGCAGGAAGCGCTATTTCAGTTCTTGCCCGTGCCCTCTGACAGGCCCCCAACCAGAAAGCCCCTAAAATCACGGGCAGTGCCCCTAAAATCACGGGCCACCTCCTTGGCTTTCCTCGGAACTTTCCTCGGAAAGTCACCTCGAAATCGGGCATCGTCCTGCCTCGCCCTCGCCAGTGAGCCCCAGCACAGCATGGAGCATCCGGTTTGCCTGCCGGAATCCTTCGATGCAAAGCCATTTGTGCAACGAGGCTCTTGGTGGGGCTGTGGGTGCATCCCAAACGCAAGTTGCAGTGCCAACATCCAACACCCATGGCTGAAACTCCAGCCTTGGCCTACCCCGAAAAAGTTGTTCCCCTTTGCAATGTCAAGCTAAAGTAGCGGGACCCTAAACTTGTTCCAATAGACAGCTTACCCTGAGATTTGAACTTTGAAGGAGACCCCTCCCCTAGCCTCTGCAAAGAGTGCTTCCTGAGGACGTTCCGTCATTTCAGGCGTAACCACCACGCCCATCGTGAGGCAAATGGCCTGGCACGGGCCGCCTGAAGATGCGGGCGCAGGCAACAGAATCGGGCTGCTCAACATGCGATGGCCAGAACACTTTGGGACGCCAACGGTGCCCGCTTTGAACCCACAGAACTGCCTAACAGCCCAGGTACTGACGATGTTGGCAACAACTGCCTACTCCTTGCTCCCTTCATGTGCTATCGCTGCTATGCATGGCCAGCAAACTGGAGTCCCAAGAACTGAGGATCCATAGTCCACCCCGCTTGCAGCCCAGCCGCTCGCAGGACGTTCCTCTGCTCTTCCAAGCCTCATTGCGCAAGCCGAGGCACGAGACCAAGCAGCACAAACCTGAGACACGAGAAACACGAACGGGCGACTCAGTTCATCCATCTCTGGAAACTTCCTGGCAGCCCACCAGCCGAAAAGCGAACGCGCCCCCAGCCTTCTTTCAGCTCCGCCGCTGCGTCTGTTAGGCGCTTGAAGGCATCATGGGCCTACCATGGGCTGCGAAACATATCTGTCAAAACTCCCTGGAGCATGGTTCCTTGGTAGGAACCTGTGCCCTTTGTGTCCCAACAAATGCAAACCCTAGCAGCCTACCCAAGCAAAGGTGTGCTTTGGCTGCCCACCCATGAATCAGTCGGTCTCAAAGTAGGAATCGCAAAGCAGCTGGTTACCTTTTGGATTCCCTCTAAAAACAACGCCAATCACGACACCCACGGCACCCTCAAAAAAAGACATGTTGGGGAAGGACTGCTGCTAAAATTTTCTGAAGACCGACGGCCTCGGGAATATCCGGATTCTTGTCCGGGTGAAGGGCTCTGGAGAGCTGGCGGTACGCGTAGTTCACGTCCGCCTATCAAAGCAAAAGCCCAAACCAGAGCTGCCAAGCTGACCATTCGAGAGCTACGGCAGCAATTGCCTCGTGCTTTTGGTAGAACGCATTTCTGTTGAAAACTGCTCATTGACCCGCGTCCATGGCTGGCAAACAGCACCTCATTGCTGGGCACTGTGGACAGCTTTTTCCTCCTTGGCCGCCTTTTCCTAAAAACTGCCCGGCTGAAAGAGCTCAGGGCACTTCAGCACGGAAGCTATATCGCACTGGGCTGGCCGAATAATCGATTTTGCTCTCCAGCTTGATGGTGCCCGGCTCCACTGATTTGGACTGTGGCGCCATGAGGGCGACCACATAGGCCCAGTGGCTGTCAGGCTGACCCCGCACCTCGATGACATCCTTGTCATCCACCACCACCTCAGAAAAACACACCATCAATACTTGCTACCAACAACAAGGGTTTTTCCTTTGGCTTCCCCTCAAACAACCGACCGGGATGTCCTCAGAAACATCACCCACTACACGCGGTATTGTGTGGAAAGCTATCTGCACCCCAAGCAGCCAAGTCCAGGGTGCACTGTGCATCACATTGGCACGAACACCTTCACAAGTCTACATCAACACAACCGCACCGCCTGAGAGTAGTAAAAACGCTTGCGCGCCTCAGAGCATGACACAAGTCAAATAAGGGGCTCTTTCAAAGTCAGAAAGGCAAACCTACGTCTGCATGGCACAGGTGTGGAAAGACCATGCCTTTCCCCAAGCAAATTCTCGTGAGCCATCCAAACCCTGACAACCACTGCTTTCAACTAGAGTTGCCTACAGGAACCAAGGTGGATTCAACAACGCGGCGGCAGGAAAAGCACCGTCGGTGTCACTGCACCAACGCCGACTGTGCCGGACATGGTCATATTGGGGTTCTGTGTGTGCCATGCACTTGGTCCACATGGCTTTGTTCAAGCTGCTCGTAGGGAGACATCACGCCAAAGTGGAGGTATGACACCTGCGCTACTTTGCTTGACCCTCTTCTGGCGCCCGGTAAAACGACAATGTCGAGGCGCCCGGGTCCACATCGCAAAACCCGAGAAGGTCCCTTCCTTCACAGGAAATTCCAGGATTTGGTCCTGCCCAACGGACTCTCCACCGCAGTAATCAAAGTCTTCGAGCACCTGAGGTTCTGATAGAAACCTCAGCTGGAGCCCGAAACTTCGCTCGACCGGCCGGACTGAAAATATGAAACTTCACTGCAGGCCCTGATTCCTGATCTATCGGAGAGCAATGTTTCCACCCACCTTGGTGAGCATGTCATCTCAAATCAAGTTGCTACAACGCTGCAGAACTTGAAGACGAACCTACTGCGCCAACGTAGCCCCTTGAATTCTCCAAAACAGCTGCCTCAAGATAACCCCAAAAAAAGCCTTCTCCACACAAGAACATGTCTCCGTTCGCTTACATCTTAACCCAAGGTCCACGGCAAACCTCACTTCCATTTGAGTTGGATTTGCCAAAAACCGACAACTTGTTGTTTACACAAGTGGTTAAACTGGTCTTCTAGTGCATCGGCTAAAGGGACCGAAGGGAAACCTAAAAAGGTCCAAACCCAAAAAGTGGTCTAGGATCCCTAGTGGGCCTTTTTTGGAACCACTACATCAGGGAACATGCCCCTCGGGGCAAATGAACCCAAAAGGCCTGCTGATGTTCAAAAGGGGTGTAGAAAAAATATCCCTCATGAAGTGGGTTAAACATGTGGTATGTCATTCCACCCTTAGACTGGGCCGAGGAGCTCCAGGTTGTCCTCGTCCGCCGGCTTGATGCGCAGTGGGAGCTGGGTGCCCGCCTGCGGGGTACCTCGGCTCCTCACGCCCTCGAAGGGAGTGAAGACGCGCTGTGCCAGCGAACGGCCTCCGGAGGGTGCAGGTGTGAGCAGGGTGGGGGGGGATGCGATGGGTGTCTCATGTCTCTCTTCTCTTCTGTTCTCTTCTCTTCTCCTTTCCTTCGCTTGGCCGCTGGCTCGCTCCGGAGCGAAGAGATAGTAGGCGAGGCAAGCCAAGGGATAGACGAGGCAGGCCAAGGGCTTAAGGAGATAGAGATAGGATATGAGGCATAAAGAGATATGCACATTTGTGATCATTTGTGATGCAAGGGAACGAAGCGAGCCGGCTCTTGGAATGATCATCCTTTTTCAGACCGCTTCTGGTGGTGAAGTGCTTCCCTGACACCCACGGCTAACGGAGAGGCTCTACCTCCTAGTCCATCTTTAACAGAATTACAAACATACTAAAGTCAGTCACCAGTCCAAAGAAGAAACCGGCCCGGAATGCGAGGGCTCTTTCAAGCCCGAATTCCGACTTTGAATGCTTTCAGAAATTCAAGCCACCCGAATTCCGACTTTGAATGTTGCCAATAAAGAACGAAAACGACCCCAATGAATAGTTCATAGCTTTTCTCGAATGAAAGTGTTGCAAGCCATGCTCGTGCCCTCCGAGGCAAGCGCCAGAAATCACACGCAAGACCACTGAGTCACGGCCCCCAGCACGCGATAAAAAGAAGAAGGACGCACTTTTACTTTCCTATTGCAGTCCCATCGGACCGGAGAAGACCCCTAAATCAGGAGTAGGTTTTTTCTGCACTCCCCCAAAAAATAGCTTGTATTAGCTTGTTTTTGTTTGGAGACGAATCAACAACACTCACCAGCCCACATGTTCCCCCTAGCCTCGGTTTGGATCATTCCAAGCCCTAGGTCCCGGTAGCTTCGGTTTGGACGAAGAGATGTAGGACTGTCCTCTCTTGAGGGTCTCTTGATGGTAGTCGGCAGGGCGGTCCCCATCGGGAAACCATCGGGAAACCATCAGTTCTTTGGCGGTCCCCATTTTAAGCTTTCATATCCTCAAGAAACCGTCCCAAAGCCAAATTAATCCATGATAAAGTGAATGATGGTGAGGCAAGTGATAGACTCCAAATACAAGGATTAAATAAGAATGAAGAAAGTAGTGAATAGAAAAGAAAAGAGAACGTGATTGGCAAGCCTAGAGAGAGAGAGTTAATGGCTTGCCTCACCCGTCATCTAGTTCTTGCACTTTCATTTCATGCTCATTAGGATTTATTCTTTACTACGCCTTGATCTTTAAACAAGCTGTAGCAATAAATGTAGTGTCTAGCTGACTTTTTTGAGATCTGTTGTGGTAACCCTTGAAACTATGAAAGAAGGTAGAACTGACAGCTACCGTTTGCATAGCTTTGGGATTGTTTTTCTGCAGGGGGAGGTTTGCACTCGTCGGCGCTGTTGTTGTTCTGTTCTGTTCATTTGTATTTGGGGGCGAACGGGGGGGAGCAAACAACAAATAGGAGGTGACAAAGTTCTACCTGGTCGTGTGGGGGGACCTCCAGAGAGTCGCCTAGCATTCCTTGGGGGGGATTGCTAATCGGGTCCCAACATTCCACAGCCGCACAGAAGGCCACAAAAGAAATAGGGTGTATACCTTGTTTAGGGGAAGCCATCACAAATCACATATTTGTGATGCATGTTCTGAGGCTGACCTTTTTTGGGGGGCCATGGTTTTTCCCCCAGGAAAGCCAGCCATTTCAAGGCTTGCCTAGCTCAAAATCAGCACGGGTCACTACTTTCCATTGGCCCTGAATCAGATGTACAAGGGCAGTAAGGGTTTTAATTGGGCTGTTCAAGATTGAGGGTTGGCCAATCCTAATCCATAATCCCTAGGGAAGCCAGTACAAGGAAGACCCCTTGCGTAACCCAAGGTAAGGATTCAGGAATACCTTTGAACAGCCCAGTTTAATCCTACTTAAAGGGTAATGAGCAAACTCCGATTTTGAGGTATGGGTTTTGCAGGTATGGAGGCTTACCGCCAGGTTGCATGGCAGAATGTACCCCTCTTGCACGCGGTAAGCAACCAACATACCTTCAAGTAAGGCGGCAATGCAAATCAACCAACCTCCGACCAGGTTTTGCGATTTACCCTAAACTTCTGTTGTCACGCTATTTACAACTTACCCGCCCACTTACTAGCACGGAACCCATCAATTAAATCGTCAAGGATCTCCCGTAGGGTAAGCCTGTATAAGCATGTTTGGCTGCATATTCTCGACATCTTGAAGCCGCTGTTGTTTTTCAGCATGATCGTGAACCGTTCGGTCCGTGGGGAACAACATGGCCCAGCCGGTAGCTCAAACAAGAAATGGACCAGAAACACGGTGATGGCCTGACAGGCAAGAACTCGAGGACTTAGATGGACTGACCCCTCCCGCCTGGAATTGGTGGCTTCCCGGTTTCCAGGTTAGGTGCGCTATCCATGGTTTGATGAGCAACCAGTGGTACAACTCCCCAAACCTACCCAAACCAACAGGAACACCCTCCTCAAAAAAAGCAAGCACCCAATGCAGGCCCCAGCACAAGAACAAGAAAACACACACCAAGAGTTCAAAAACTTTGGGGCAATTAACGTAACTATCTATGTTTGGGAAGCGTTTGCAATTACCTCGCAGTTGCGAGGCAAACAAAAAGCCTGCGCGTCTTCCCATTGCCCATCCGCCCTCAGAAGCATGGCCAGGCTCGCAAATGCAAGTCGCATGAAAGGCAGCCGAAGAATGCAAGACACATCTAGCATTGCGGTCAGGGGCCCCGAAAACTTAACACATGCACGCCACACATGAAAAATCACCATACATGTTATTCCGCGACATGTAAAATATTTGTTCGAAGCCACATATTGCCAAACGGCATGTAAACAAGTCGGCATCAACGTCAATGACAACTGAATTGTTCTCGATAACGGGTCCCTCGCGCGCGAAAACTCGACAAACGGGGCGGGCCTTTGTAGAGCACAGGCACAATGCACGTCTGGCACTTCAGTGGGATCATTCCGCAGCCCTCTTTCAAGAACCTGGCCCAGTGTGCTTGGGCTTGAGACCATTGGGCTCTCCAAAAGCGACCTCCAAGCTTCCCAAGCCTCCCAGTGGGCCCTTCTAATTGTCTATGGTTTGCATGGGTCTCCGGCACGCGGCTC